CTTTTATAGGTATTGTTTTCGATAGGATCTCATTAAGTATTTCTGGTTATTCTTAAAACTTTACACGTAAAATAAAATATACAAGATGTAAACTTTTTCTTAGCCCTTTATTTTTAGTATAACGATTTTTTAAAATGTATCTGTTCGAGAAATCATAGCACAAGACATTTAAATACTTAGCATTATTTTTCCAGTAAACAGAACAAGCTAAATCAGTCCAACGACCTGCTTTAAAACAGCTTTCCCACAAAGATGTACCCATTGGGTTTCTCGGAAGCACAACAAAGATCCTGCTACACGTTTGTGACTCACGCTTGTACAACCTTCAGTCCAGACAACAAACAAAGCAGACAAGTCCAAAACGGCCAATAGTTCGATAGGTTTATAACATGGTAATCCTGTGGAATATAACAAAGGTTTCTTTAAATTATACATCTTCGTCAGTAACTAGAGCCGCAATTTAATTTATTTGAGAAACTAGTTTCTATAGACTTACGTTATAATATTACTGAAATATAACCCTTTTTAGTAAACAAAAACTACATCACATTTTACACTTTCGTCTCGTTGTTCTTTAGTTTGCAAACCAAACAGCGAGGTTGTAGAATGGACGAGTAAGTGGTTAAGAAATTATGTAGTGAAACAGATTCTACACACTATATGTCTACAAAGTAAAAGCACGACAATTACATGAAAAAAAAATCGTTTACAAGTCTAAGCTGTTACTGCTATTTATTCTTAGAAAATCTTAGACGTGAATTATAAGGTAGAGACGCAGAGGTGGAACGGGTTAGGTACGGACGCGATTATACAGGCTGACTTTACGTGATAGCATAGCAGCGCATCTTCGACTTCTGAAGAGGAAAACTCTTCAGAAGTCGAAGATGCGTTTGCTTTGCTGCAGCTCATCGTGCACAGAATGACAAATGTTAAAATTGTGTCAAGAACACAGATATTTTAAAATCGAAAAATTATATGAATATCCTTGGTGGTATCTTCGGTATGTTTCATTACATTATCATGTTACATTTAACATGTAATGAAACAATGTTTAAAATTTTTTTTTTTAAAATACCGCCCACCAAAGGACGTAGTCCTTTACTAAAGAATAACGTTAAAGGTAAAACTATAAAAATCTATAAATCATGCAATAGTGGCCAGTAAGTAATTTAAATGAATACAAAAATAATTGAACTTAGAATGTCTTAAGTTAACTTGTAGACAATAGTAATAACTAACTAATGAACAATAAGATACTCTTAATTGGGTACTCTGAGTAAGTATTAACAAAAATAGTCCAAAATTCAACTTAGTAATATATACTCAATTAATAACATGATAGTAACCAGAATATATAAAATAAGTGTGCTAAAGTACACATTAAAACTTAACAAAACTTTCAATATTTATCTATTGGCAATGCACAAATTCTTGACAAAGATCTTTGGACGATACTATTTCTATATTTAATACTATAAACTCTGGTAAGACCATCTTCTCCTGGATGTTTAGCGACAATGCGACCCAGGGCCCACTTTCCCGGTGGTAATTGATCCTCTTTCAATAGAACTATGTCGCCAATGTCGTACTCTTTTTGCTTCTTCATCCATTTTGGTCGAGTTTGTAGACGTGTCAGGTACTCATTTTGCCAACGGTGCCAGAAATTAGCTACCATCCTCTGACAAAGCTGCCACCTCGATAGATAGTTAATGTGAGTGTCTCTTAAACTTGGGTTTGGTATAGTGACAGGGGCTTCTCCAATCAGGAAATGTCCAGGAGTTAATATTTCTAATTCGGTGTCAGCAGTATCGACGGGTGTCAACGGGCGTGAGTTCAAACAGGCTTCTATTTGGCACAATATTGTCGATAATTCTTCATACGTTAGGTTGGTACTTAGGATTCTTTTCAAGTGGAACTTGGTGGACTTCACGGCGGCCTCCCACAGTCCGCCGAAGTTTGGACTATATGGTGGAATAAAATGCCATTGTGTGCCGTCTGATGCAAGAATATCTGCGAGATGACCAGGTAAGTTCAAGTTAGCTTCCTTCCAAGCTGCTTGTAGCTCTTTATTAGCACCTACGAAATTACGACCATGATCGCTCCATAGATGTGTGCATCGTCCTCTTCGTGCAATAAATCGATTAAATGCTCCAATAAATGCTTCTGAAGTTAGATCGCCAACCAACTCTAGATGTATGGCCTTGGTGGTCATGCAAATGAATATGGCGATATAAGCCTTGCGAGTTTTTGAACCTCGGCCCTTTGACGTAAGTATTTGCAAAGGACCGGCAAAATCTACACCACTATTGCTAAATGGACGAGCAGGAGTGATACGAGCTTTTGGAAGGTCACCCATGATTTGCGTTTTTGATATTGCTCGGTGCCGTGCACATACGATGCATTTGTGTATATATTTCTTCACCAGATTCTTTACTCGAATAATCCAGTATCTTGATTTAATATAACTAAGCATTAGCTGAATACCTCCATGTAATGTCTTCCGATGAGCTTCTGCTACAATCAGATGTGAAAGTTCATTGTTCATGCCTAATATTATGGGATGCTTTTGATCATTGCTTAGGCTTGCGTGGCGCAGTCTGCCGCCCACCCTGATAATATTTTTCTCGTCTAGGTAGGGATTTAACGTTTTCAAACAACTCCATTTCTTGACATTTTTCCCTCTTTGTAAACTTTCTAATTCACCTTCAAATTCTTCCCTTTGTGCTATGTTAATACATTTTGTTAATGCTTCCTCTACTTCTAGTGTTGTAATTGTTATATTAATTTTTGTAGACCATTTTTTATACCTCAGAAATCTCAAACTATAAACAACAGTTTTTAAAAGTTCTTGTAATGTACTAAAATCTTCAAATTTCATTTTCAATGTCTTAAAATTTACTGGTATTTTTTTTATTTCTAGCTCCGTAGGGTTAATTGTAAATCTAGAAAATTTAACATCCTTCTCTTTAAGGCTTTCTGGTCCTTCCCACCATAGTTTATTGTCTATTAGGTTGCCTACGTAGACACCTCTAGAACCTATATCGGCAGGATTGTCTTTTGATCTGACATGATACCATCTTGAGCAGGGAACGTTGTCCAATATCTCTACTACACGATTGCTGACAAATTGTTTCCATCTATTAGGGTCGCCTGAGAGCCAAGATAAAACAACGGTGGAGTCAGTCCAGGCATAGCTGTTACTTTCTGGTAGTCTAAGAGCCTCTCTCACTTGGGTAAGTAATCTTGCTAACAGTACCGCCCCACATAGTTCCAGGCGTGGAAGAGAAATTACTTTAACTGGTGCTACTTTAGTCCGTGATGCAATTATTCCTGTTCTGACTTCTCCATTCTCTTTTTTTAATCTATAGTAAACTACTGCGCAATATGCTTTATTGGAGGCATCACAATACCCATGCAGATATGTCTCGTCATTGACTTCTTTACCCATCCATCTTTGTATTTTTATTCGATGTAAATGTTTAAAGTTGTCTCTTATTTTACTCCATTCTACTTCAGTCGATTTTCCAACCTCTTCATCCCAACCAAGTCTCTCTTTCCAAATATTCTGTATTAAAATCTTAGCAGTGACGATTGCTGGTGATATCCATCCCAGAGGGTCGAACAAACGTTGTATGTCTCCTAAAATAATTCTCTTTGTTATTAAGGCTGATTTAGGTGGTAATTTTATTTGATAATGAAATGTATCTGTTTTCATGTTCCATATTAGACCCAACGTTTTAATAAAGTTCTCTTGTGCATCAACACTTATACTTTTCAATGACTGTGGAATTGTGTTTAGAAACTCTTTGCTATTCGATGCCCATTTTTGTAATATAAATCCTCCACTTTCTAAAATCTTTATTAACTCTTGACTAGCCTCTATCGCGTCTTCTACTGTATCATGGGAACTAATACAATCGTCGACATAGAATTCTTCGGCTAATATTCTAGCCCCAATAGGATACTTATTCATTTCATCCGTCGATAGCTGTTGCAGGGTCCTGATTGCTAAATAGGGTGCTGAGGCTGTCCCAAACGTTACTCTGAGCATACGATAGTCATCAACTTCTGTAGTAGGATTCTGTCTCCATAACAATCGTTGATAATCAGTGTCTTCTTTAGTGACTAATATCATACGGTACATTTTTTGAATATCTGCTATAAAACAAATCTTCTTTAAGCGCCATCTCATGATTAAGTTTCGTATATCCTTTTGTAATTGAGGTCCAACTAATAGTAAATCATTGAGTGAATTTCCTTTTGAACTTTGGCATGACGCGTCAAAGACAATTCTCACCTTCGTGGTTTCACTATCTCGTACCACGGCGTGATGTGGTAGATAAATTGACACTTTATTTATCTCTTCCTTTGGGACCTTCTCCATGTGATTAAGCTGTATGTATTCTTCCATAACCTTACTATACTCTTCTCTTAATTTAGGTTTATTTTCTAATCGTCTTTCTAATTGTTCTAATCTCTTCAGTGCTATGTCTCTAGTAGATCCTATTTCTTGTGGTGTTATTTTAAAGGGCAATTTCACAATATACCTTCCATCTGAATCTCGACTATGTGTGGTTTTATAAATATCTTCACAGACGCGCTCATCAAAGGTAAGTGTACGTTTGGCTGATTCATCTATGCTCCACAATTTTTTTAATAGACTATCCATATCTATATCTATTTGTTGATGCATGACTGTTAATTCTTTATTCGTGTGTTCATGTTTAGAAATATTGCCAAACAAAATCCACCCCAAACTTGTTTCCTGGGCTGACGGTGAGCCTGGTGGCCCTTTTATTAAATTGTTTCTTATAATTTCAGTATATACATCAATACCAAGCAATAGATCAATTCTGTTTGACATGTAGTATTGTGGATCTGCTAGTGTTAGACCTTCCAAGTGTGACCAATCGGATTGTGGTTTTATTGTGGAACTGGGCAACTTTGATGTTATGTGTGATTTTAAAACATATGCTTTCAGAGGGAGATTGAATTGAGTGTCATACTGTGAGGATATCTCCAACTGTACCACATAACGCACTGGAGTTGTGGTGCTGCCAATTCCTGTGATTGAGCACTGGACAGGAGTTTTCTTTAGTCTAATGAGTTGAGTTGCATTCTCGCTTATAAATGACGCTTGTGAGCCAGGATCGATTAGTGCCCTTAGCGTAGCCTCCCGGCCACACTTACTCCGGACCGGAACCAACGCTGTTGCTAATAACGCTCTTCTCTGCTTGTGTGCGAAGTTCACTATGATAGACTCATCCAGAAGATTTTCTTGTTGTTCATTAAGCGTGTTCATTGAGATTTCAGGTGTTGTTGCATTCTTCTCTGTATCCTGAAAATCTTCTCTCTTCTTACCATGATGAAGAAGTGAATGGTGTCGCTTTCCACATATCTTACAAGAAGTCTTCTGCTTACAATAATACACTGGATGGCCTGGTGACAAGCAATTGTAGCATAATCGATTGCTCTTGACGACTTCACTTTTCTTCTCTGGATCAAGTTTCACAAATTCTTTACAGTGACAGAGGAGATGCTGGCCTTTACATAATTTACACATAATATTTACGGCTGACGAATGACACGAACGTTCTATAGTCTTAAATGATTTTTGAGAGCTTGAAGAAGGCGAACAGGTTAACTCTAATGTGTGTATTCTACTATCCAAGAAGGTAATCATATTTTGTAAAGTAGGTAGTTCAGTTTGATACTCACGACTCACATGGGATTCCCAATCTTTATGCGTGTCATAATCCAATTTTTGCACAGTAATGTAAATGATCATAGGGTCCCAAGTAGATGTTGAAATATTCATAGATTCTAAACTATTCAAACACTCCTTAGTAGTGTCAATCAGTGTCTTTAAATGACCTGGTGATTGGGTGTTAACCTTTTTAAATGTAAATAACCTTTTTAATATCGCGTTTACTATAAGCCGCTTGTGGCTATATCTATTTTTTAAAGTCTCCCAAGCTTTCTCATAATTCTGTTCTGTCGCTTGAATATGCTTAATAGTGTTTTTTGCCTCGCCAGATAAACACGATTTCAAATAATGAAACCTCTGTACATTACTTAATAATTTGTTGTTCGATATTAACGCCGTAAATGTATCTTCAAATGATTGCCACTCCTCATAAATCCCCGAAAATGTAGGTAGATTGATTCTCGGAAGCTTGACCTCTGCGCTGCTCGAACTTTCCTTCTGTGTATATGATGCTGCAATTTGTGCTGAGTTTCCTACCGTCTCCACATTTATCTTTAATAATCGAAGCGTGTCTTTAATATCTGCTTTTAAATCTATATAAGTTTCTTCACACTGACTGTATAAATCTTGCGTAAAATAGTCAATTGTTTTCCTTTGTTCTTTCTTAGTATTCTTCAATAAACTTTGATAACTATTTTGATACGAATTCCAATAGTCTTCTAAGCATTGTAGTCTCGCTTCTGTATAACCTATTGTAATTCTTGACTTAGGTGACTTTTTAAAGTTTGCTTTAGTTTTTACGATACTATTCGACAAATGTTCTAAAAGTTCCAATTGTTGTTCAACGGACTCCATAATGAAAGTTAATATTATGTGTTTAAAACGTTCACTTCGTTATTGTAACCACAGGAATGCACAATACACCATATAACTGCAATTTGTATAACAGCAGCCGGTCGTCTATTGTATTCGCCAACTAACTTCATATAGAAAAAACTTCTCGGCGACGATAGCTTATCTTCGATCAACTAGTTCTTTTAAATTGTATGCGGCTCGGAATGGACCATGTTGTATTGAGAATAAGGGTTTATTTTCTAATCGTCTTTCTAATTGTTCTAATCTCTTCAGTGCTATGTCTCTAGTAGATCCTATTTCTTGTGGTGTTATTTTAAAGGGCAATTTCACAATATACCTTCCATCTGAATCTCGACTATGTGTGGTTTTATAAATATCTTCACAGACGCGCTCATCAAAGGTAAGTGTACGTTTGGCTGATTCATCTATGCTCCACAATTTTTTTAATAGACTATCCATATCTATATCTATTTGTTGATGCATGACTGTTAATTCTTTATTCGTGTGTTCATGTTTAGAAATATTGCCAAACAAATATCATCACAATTTTTGGTTGTTAAATAATGTTTAAACTCTTTGATATGGAATTTTAGTTGTCTCATCATTATCTGAAGAGTTAAACAGAGAGATCGCCATTCATAAATGTTTTAGTTTCATATGACTTTTCTAGATTTATTTAAGACCGGATCAAATGCATGACATGCGATATGCAGATCGGATCCAGACGTTCCACAAAATCTAATCGAGCAATACACAGCACATACTTTCTTCTGTTCATACAACAGACAAAATATGTATTTCGTTTGGCCTTGCAAACTTTGACTTTATGCGTGTTCTGAGTTGCGTTCAGTGGGACGTGATTAGAGTTTATTTTATTTAAAACCGTCATCCAAACTATTTTCTATTAAAGCTGGCTAGGTGAAGTGTAGGCAAGAAACCGATGCTTTCTTTACAAATTGTTGCGATTAAATATCTATAATCTTAAGTTCTGATGCCCACATAGTTGTGCCACGACTAAGAAACGTAATTGGGGCAGAAAGTTGACTTACTATCGTACAGTTGGATTCTCCGAATAAGCGCGTGGGTGCCGCCCCAGCTACATTACCACCTCTCGGCATCCTTCATACAAGAAACTTCTTGTTCCCATAATTTGTATTCGGGGCCAACGTCACAATTCGGATGTACGATTAGAAAGGAGACAGCAATTGTGTCGCGTCATTGAAATGATCCACATGTGGGTGGCTGTCCGCGAGTCTGGTTCAGGTGAAAACTTTCCAATGCGTGATCTATCATTCATCACAATAAAAACAGATACTGCAATGAACTGTTCAGATTTTCTTTCTAAAGCAAAAAACGTTGTAGGACCTATATTTATGAATGATAGTTATCCTGAAAAGAGCTTGGAAAAACCAGAATCCCTGGAAAAACCAGTAAAGGGTCTCGTTAACTACAACATACGAATCTTTAGCGCGCTACGTTTTTGTACATACTAGTTACGCTTTTATAAGTATACACAATGTTAAAATTGTGTGAAAAAACTCGGTATACCACACATTTTATCTTTAGGACTTTCAAAACCTACAGTATCGAATTGTACTACGTCATAAATTATTATTATTTAGACCAAATCAGTCTAATGACTGACTGAAACTCGTAAGTGTTTAAAAGATAATTCTTTTAAACACTTACAAATGGGACATCACACATGCACTTACATCTTTTATCCCCGATGGGGTAGACATAGACTGGCTAATTGCAGTCTACCGGGCACATATATTTTTAAACATTTTAGAATGTTTATTTAAAAAAATATGATACATATTATAGAAAAATTACAATTAGATGTAGATAACCTACACTACAGATATATTGTAGCGTGGAGATAAATATTCCAACTAATTATACAAAAGTGCATTGAATTAACGTTGAAAGTTTTTAACACCTGCACTTAGTGATTCACTTTAGAATAATAGGACATTTGTAGTCGCGAGACAATTATCTGAGGTAAACATAGAAATGTTAATATTCTATAAAGAAGAACGGCAAAAGTTTTCGATGCGTCCGTTGCTATGTAAGTTAAGTATCAGTAATAAATCTTTCATATCGCTTCAGGCTCTGTAGGAAACTTTCACTTGTTTATTATTCCTTTTGATAAAAGGGAAATCATATCATGTCAGTGATAAATACCTGGATATATGTGCAGGCATGCAGCTAGTTCGTTTCGATATTAGTCAAGGCCGCTTCGAGTATGAGATGGACGGTCGAAATACATGTACAATCAAGTGATCTCATTTTACGCGATATGAGAGTTGAGTGCATAAATAAATATTTCACATTTACTTGACTTGCAATACATCCAACATTTGCACTATGCTATAAATTAGACATGTCCGTAACAAGAGAACTTGTTGGAGGTAAGGGATAATGAATAGGGTTTGACGACTCAGGATATTAATTCAACGCCTTTGTGTTTTTATCAAATGTTGAAAGTAAAATGTTTTTAGCCATTCTATTTCAACAATGAGCTAATTAAATAGCAAATTACTTTCTCTGAAAAACATTTGTCAGAATTTACTTTGACGTCTATTTACCTTCAAAATTTGGGTCACATATTTATTAAGCCACACATGATAAATTATATTATACAATTTTTATAATTATTGATAATAGGTAGCATAATTTATAGGTTCTTTACTTATACACGATAAATGAAGGACCTTCAAAAAACCGATTAACAAAAAAATTATTAAAAAAACAAAAAAATAGTAATCATTTTAAAACGGATGCGAAAATGCACTGTACTGACTGACTTTATTCAAAAGGAAACAGTTCAGTGCTTGTTCCCAGTAGAATATATTTTTTTGTAATGTCCTGTATGTATCAAGTAAACCGGACCATCGAATCCCTCAGCATCTTTTATGTTCCCACCAAGTTAATAAGACTTCAAATAATTCTATTTGTATGAACAACTAACTATTAAATACTTCCGTGTACAAACGTATTGCCGTATAATAATTTCTAATTTTTTGTGCGACGCCTTTATCGATTCCTGAACAATACGTGGGCGGTCGAAGCATTACCAATCCTTAAACGGAAACCTTGTTTACTTGTCTTCCCTTTACGATAGCCGATATTGATGCAAGGTCCCCTGTCATTAAGTTTAACATTGAGAGAGGCATCTTATCTGGTACTTAATAAGTACGTATATACTGGTGGCATTCAGACGGTCCTTCACAAAAATGATTCAAATACGAATTAAGCTTCCGTGATCGTGACCTGCCGCCGATATAATTCGTGATGATTGCATCGTCATCGCTGCTTACGCTTCTTTTGTGTTTATATTCTACGTTAAAGGGAAATAAATAATTGAATTGTCATAATCGAAGAATCGTCATCGTTTATCTCTGATCGAATATCAGACCATACTCGTACATTGAATTAATAATTTTATCAACGAAGGTGGCACGCTATAACGCAAAATATCTACGCTCAGCTATTCAAATTCAGCTAATCTATTCAATGACAAATGGTTGCATTTTTATATGCAACCAGCCCGTTTGCCAACGATGGTCAATGTCAAGGCATGTATGCATTGTGTATTACTTCGACAACATTAGTCAATTAACAGTGATGACTGGTGTATTAAAGGGGCACGTGATTGCAGTCATTTAGTCGATGATAAGTCACGGAATTTATAACAAAGATATAAATAAAGCCACTATATATTTTTAAGAACTTAAATTATTTTGATTAGTTATTAAAAACAGTCTTGAAGTGTTCTGACTTTAACATAATGAAATCCGTTGCCGATGCTAAATCAAAACCAAGTCTAACTAACAGGAGTCACTCTAGGTTAGTACTTGCTCCAATACCCCAGATCTTTTCATATCGCACATTATACACATTGAAATGCGACTCGTGAACTCATTATGCCAGTCTCTGTCGTACAAAAACATGTTTTAGGTCGCGTCTGTGTATGTTCACAGAGGCGATTGGGAAAATAAAAATAAATAGGCCTTTATTAATTATTCATATTGATTTTTTGGTATTTTGTTAATTGTCTGTTTGACCTATATAAAACGACGCTAGTCGTGGGCCACACTTCGGCGCGAAATAATAAAACATTAGTACCATGTAGAACACATATACATAACGGGCTTTGTATCTACTATTTAACAAACGCACGCATAATTCAGTTGTACGTTTGATTGGAGCTCATAATAAGAATATAATAGAGATGTATTATCGGACTCTCACGTTTAGAAATTACATGAAAAGGACCGTTAAACTCATTTAGATACACGAAAACTTTTTTTTTTGTTGACGGGGTGGAAAATCAATTCGGATCTCCTGATCCTCGGGGACTCAGGAGCCAGGAGTATGTGGTGATTCCACTAAAAACCACCCCGACGGCCGGCCTCAGGTGCCCTACTCGGGGAGGACCTGGACCATGTTATATCAGATCCTCCCCGAATTGACACCATGCCTAATCAGGCCCTATCCCAGGGGAAAAAACACTCCTGCCTCAAACGCGACGTGGCGGCCCAATTTCGTCATAATGCAATCAGGCCGCAGTCTTATCCCCTACCGCAGCATTCCATCTGCCACCAGAGGTCCCCACTCTCTGGCGGTCCGCGGCCCCGTGGGCGTCTGGTATCGTCGCCGACGTCCTCTACGCTCGGGATCGGCATTGTCTCGATCCCGTTCAGCGGTCTCTTTCTGGAGCATTACAGCTTCAAAGAAAGAGACCACAGCGCCCCATCCCTCCTCACCCGCCAGCATGGCAGCAAGGATTGCTGGCGGGGACAGATACACGTATACCTAAATGTTCATCAAAGTACCTATACTAATTACGACTATAGTCTTAATTAGTATATTTTGATGCTATTGTAGTATAGTTGGCATTGTTATGAGAATTGAAAGACGTCTAAAAATACCATTAATAAAATATAAATCGTACTTCTGCATTACCGCATTTCTGCTACAGTGCAGTGTGTTTAATTATTTTTTTTAAACATTAATTGTGACCTTAAAATTGTTATGCTGTTCAAACTTCCGACAAAAATTGCAAATTTATTAATAGCTGCGACAGCATAAATGGAGAATACAGTATAATGTTCTTAATTAACAAAATTTAAACAAGTTCACAGTTACTAACTTTCACTGAACGCCTACTAGCGACTGCCATGGTTTCGATTAAACAAAATCCATGTTCTATATTAGAAAAAAATTAGGTACAGTTTATAGAACACAACTGAAATCATTGTTTCAAAATTGAGATAATTGGTACATGTTATGTTCCTGCATTTGATTGACACATTTAAGATGAAAGTATAAAGATGTCACGGTTAGTAATTTGAGAGAGAAAGCCTCTTTTAGATACCTATGTTAATAAGTAATTATGGAAGTGCTACGTAATATTTCCTCCATTTAAATTATTCTTTATACACAGTCAAAGCAAGTTAATTCTAATTTCATTTTATATAATCACTCCACGTTACGAGACTTTTGAATTTATTCTTTATACGATAATTACTTTATATTTCTGATTCGTACGTAGTAGGTACCTACGTAAAATTATTTTTTAAATGGTTAATGTGTGTGTTTTAAAACGCTTTTGTTAGCTTGGTATGTTTGTAACGTGATTTTGACCCACATCAAACAGTTGAATTAAATTGAAACTTCGCAGACTTATAAAGCACCTACGACAATACAATAATTTGATAAAATTGGAAGATTATCCTGATAAAGGATTAAAGGATTTTTCCATACCTAAAAATACGGTAGTGTCTTTTGCTACGTACTAAGAGGTTGTGCAGCAGTAATAAATTATAGTTTAAAAAACACGCTTTTGTTTCCAGCTGAACTAAAAGTAGAAAATAATTTTCTATAAGTTCAAAAAGAGAGTCATTTTCTCGTAAAAAAATGTGGGGTGCTTTTCAAGATATCTTTATCTATACAAATAAATTTCTATTTATTCTTTATTGTACACACTGAACACATACATATATATAAATCAAATTGAAGTGTGTTCGTAATGTCAAAATAATAGGTTTTTCATGCTCACACGGTTTTTTGCACGGTGCCTATGCCTAATAACCAGTTTAAATATTTTTTGACTGTCTGTCTGTTTGTTCGGGATAATCTTCAAAACGGCTAGACCGATTTTGATAATATTTTACTACCAGGTAACTATCTATATAAGGAGTAACTAAGGCTATTTTTCCTTTCAGAAAAATCCTATAATATTTTGCGCGGTCCGGGAATCGACCCGGGAAGGCCTCATGGACTGCAGTCGCGTACAGTAATACACCGCTAAGCAACGCTTTTCAAATTCCACGTGAACGAAGTCGCAGGTAGCAGCTAGTTTTATAATGCAATGTTTACTTTTTTAACAAAATCGGTCAATAAAATATTTTTTTACAACTATTGAGATCTATGTAACACCCCACGCATTTTTACGTTACAATCACTTTTCTTTTTCAACCTTTAG